TCACTATGTAGACCAGGCTGGCCTTGAGCTCACAGAGATCCACCTGCCTCTGCCTCCCGAGTGCTGGGATTAAAGGCGTGTGCCACCACGCCCGGCCTTACTATTTTTATTTTATGTGTATGAGTGTTATGCCTGCATGTAGGTAAGTGCACCCGTGTTGTGCAATGCCCATGGAGGTCAGAAGAAGGCATCAGATATCCTGGATCTGGACTTATGGACAGTTGTTAGCGGCCATGTGGGTGCTGGGAATCGAACCTAGGTCCTCTGCAAGAGCAGTCAGTACTCTTAACTACTGAGCCACCTCTCCAGCCCCTTGATGACGTTTTTTAAATGGTTTCATTTGAAGGCCTAGAGAATGTGGCATCTGTGGTGCAGGTGTAGGGGGTGAGGGCAGGGAGCCTGGGTCACTGTCTCACTGTCTGCACTGAGTCTATGAGACTCTGCCCCATAGAATTCTTAGGTGAGCAGTTAGGTATTTCAGTTAACTAAAACTAGAATTTTTGAGTTTTGAAATTTGATCCACTTAGTTGCTTTCAGTACAAATAATCTAAGCACAGAATTAAAGCGTAAATATATAGCATTAGTTGCCTACTTAAGCCAGAAAAAGTCCCAGTGACACCATGAGTCAATGAACTTTTCTTGTTTAATGTTGGAGTTAATGGCATTCTTATAATTCTTATAGTCTGTGCTGTCCTTAAAATCATCATCTGGCAGTATAAATAATAAGTAAATAGTTCTCAAGTAAAATCAGCAGCCCAGAGGGGTCCATGCTGTCTAGATCTGCTCCAAGACCCCTCTACACTTTTGCAGTGGGCATTGTCATCTTCCTGGGTGTATTCTTCTATTCTCTCTCTCTCCCCCCACATGCGCTCGCATGTGCGTGGGTGTCTGTATGTATGTATGTACGTGCGTGTGTCATATGAAAACATGGGCCCATTCTCTTTGTTTGTAACTTAATATTTGGAGAAATTTCTAGGCTCATTCAAATCCATGGTTTCAGTCCTGACTTCCAGTTAGTACACCTGAGAGTTCTCAAAATTTCCCATCACCTTTCCTCCTCCATGAGACCAATTCAATAGAGTCTCTGGGGTGGGTCCTGGAATTCTGATGTTTGAATCCATAGGCAGTTCTGATGTGTAGCTAGGATTGACAGCCACTAATTTAGAGTCATTCTTTTCCTCCCCAGTTCATTGCTGCAGTTAAGTATAACAACCCCCACTGACAGTGAACAGGCCCTGCACCTCCTTCTCTGTGTACACGTGTCCTCTAAGGAGGAGTAGGAGAATGCTTGAGTGAAGGGGGCACATTATTTAAAGTCTACATATTTAGTTTTGGCAGATTTAAATTTTAACCTGGTATATCAGTTTATGCTCCAGTAAGCAGGTTGTGAGCTCTCCGCTTTCCGCCCCACTGCCTGTCCCCGATAGTATCAGACTCCCGGGTTCTTGTCCATGAAGTGGTGAAATCACAATCTCATACTCCCTGATAGCTGCAGTGGCTGATGAAACTCAGCAGCTTTGCATGTTTCTAATGTTTTCTCAGTGCTCCCTCTCTCTTTGTCTCTCTGTCTCTGTCCTCTCTGTCTCTGTCTCTCTGTATTTGTTTTGAGACGGTGTTATGTAACCCGGGCTGGCTTTGAACTTGATCTGCAGCTGAGGAGGACCTTGAGCTCCTGAGGTTACAGGCGTGCACACCACACCTGACTCTTCTTTTTTCTTTGCAGGAGTTACCAGTATATTTTAGATAGTTATCTTTTATCATTAATATGCTGGAAGTACTTCCTCGGTGTTTGCTGTTCAAAGATGGTAGGTAGGCTTGATATAGTGAGATTTGTCAGTGTTTTTCCTTTCTAAGATTGAAAAGAAAAGGTATTTTGTTAGCCAGATGTGGTAGCATGTACCTGCAATCTCAGCACTTAGGAGATTGAGGCAGAGGATCAGGAGTTCAAGGCCAGTGTGGGGTACCTAGCAGGTTCAAGGCCAGCCTGGGCTATATGAAACACTGTCTGAAAAAAAAAAAAAGCAAAAACAAAAACACAAAACAACTCCCCTCCCCCATATATTTTTGTTTCCTAACTTTAAAAAATATTCTAACAGTTTAAGCTTGGCTGTGTCACATGTCGGGAGTGGCCTTTGTGACCACTGTCAGACATGGTGGATGTCGCTCCCTTTCTTTTGTCTGTCCACCGCAACTTCTGCCATCACCATCTCCTTTCCTCCTGCTTATATGCCAAGAATATTCTTCTTGTCAGTCAATGCTGACTTGATTTTATTAATGAATTGCTTCTTTTGAACACCTGTCTTCATGTTTACAGATGAGCTCAGAGAGGTTAAGTCACTTGCCCAGAGTTCCACAGTAACCACTAGAATTATCATTTATCCTACTCATTAATAGTAGAACTACTGTTTACACTACTTAGTTGCCAGTTGATTTTTTTTTTTCCTCAAAGTCAAAATACCTCTTTTGGACTGGGGTGAGAGATAGCTCACTCAGTAAAGTACTTGTCTTGTCAGCATGAGGACCTGAGTTCAATCCCCAGAACCCAGGTAAAAATGCTAAGTCTGTAATCATAGCACCTAGCAGGCAGAGACGGGCAAATCCCTGGGCTCCCTGGCCAGTCAGTCTAGCCTACTTGGTGAGCTTCAGGCCAATGGGAGACCCTGCCTCAAAGGAGGTAGATAGTTCCTGAGGATGACACTGAAGATTGTCCTCTGGCCTTCACATTTACACCTGTGCTTATGTATCCTTAACATGCACAAATATGCACAGTCACACATATGCTTGTGCATTCTCACACACACAAATATGCACACACATATGTGAATTTTAAAACATGCCACCTTAAGCCAGGCGTGGTGGTACACATCTTGAATCCTGGTACTTGGGAGGCAGAGGCAGGCAGAGCTCTGTGAGATAGGTCTGTATAGTGAGTTCCAGATCAGCTGGTGTTGTAGAAAAATTCTTCAAACAGCTAAGAGACCAAGCATTCACTCAGGAGAGAGCTGGGAAGCTTGTTTATTTCTTACTCATGCACGAGGTCCCAGAAGCAACAGAGGCTTTTAGATTTTCTGGGCCTTGAACCAGAAGAAGTACAGTTGGGGATTAAATAGGCATTTCTATGCCTGACACCTGGGCCCTATGTTTCTTTTCATGATGGGCCATGCTATCTCAGGAAAAATTCCTTCCTTAGTTCACTTGGTCATCATTGCTTACAAAGTAGATAGCCAGGCATGGGGTTAGGACATCTCCTGCCTTTTGATCTACAGCTAGGCCGCGACTCAGTCAGACAGTCATTACAGTTTACAAAAACAGGTTTCTTAGCTATCTGACATGTTTGATCTACACTTTTCTTGGACTAATTGGTCCAGGTGCCTCATTAAGCCATTTGGCTAACTTTCCATTCTCTTAGTTTTACGTCTTTATCAACAGCCAGACACAGTGAGTTGTAGAAAGCCTCACAGAGCTTCAAGATATTACAGAGAAACAAAATGGAGTAAAAATACCACTGAGCAATAAAATACCTCTGAGCATTCCAGAGTTACATTTTAACATATTTAACCAGTAAGTTTATGATCGTGTATGCATGATGTGTGTATGGGCTTGTGTGTCACAATGTGCATGTCGAGGTTAGAGGACAACTTTGTAGACTTGGTTCTTTCCACCTTTACATGGGTTCCAGGAATTGAACTTGGGTCGCTAGGCTTGCAGCAAGTATTTTAACCAGGGAACCATCTCACCAGCTCTGCTTTGGATATTCTTGAACTTTCTTTTTAGAAATAAATTTTCAGAATCAACAACACCCATAATGCCCTTAAACTTAGTTTCCTCAATTTCAAAATTTAGTGTATACGTTATAGAACCTGACATTGCTTTCTGTGATTATGAAATTTTCAGAAATGTTCTTCAGAATGTGTAGAAAAAACATGTTCAAACTTCCCTTGTGAGCTGGGCTTGGTGGCACGTCTTTAATCCCAGCACCTGAGAGGCAGAAGCAGGCAGATCTCTGTGAGATTGAGATCAGCCCAGTCTATATAGCGAGTTCCACAGCCCAGCTGGGGCTACAGGGAGACCCTGTCTCAAAACAACCAAGCAACCAAAACCCCAACAAAAACAAATCTTCCCTTGTGCTGCTGTTTGCTTTAGACATTCAGTGATTTGACTTAGCTTTTCTCTTTAGTTAAATGTGTTCAGTCCATTTTATTCTTCTTGCTGTACAGTGTACTCTTTGCTCTAGGTTTTTGTGTTTGTTTCTGTTGTTTTTTGTAGTGCTGGATGTTGAATTTAGGTCTCACACATGCTTCGCAAGCACTCTACCACTGAGCTGTGTTCCAGTCTTTGTTGTCATTTTATTTTTATTTTTACTTTTCATTGGGGGGGGGAGAGAGAGAGAGAGAGAGAGAGAGAGAGAGAGAGAGAGCTGGTATGAAAAACCAGAGGGAAATGTATTAGTGAGAGAGAGAGAGAGAGAAGGGGAGGGGAGGGGAGGGGAGAACTGAACAAGGGCTCTCAGAGTGCCAGGTAAGTGCTCTATCACTGAGCTATATCTCCAGCTGTCTTTTTCACTTTTTATTTTGAGACACAGTCTTGCTAGGTTGCCCAGGCTGGCGTTGAACTTGTGATCATCCTGTTGTAGCCTCCACCACTAGGCCCAGAACCTAGGTTCTTGTTAAAGCCAAGTTGCCATAGCCTTGATCTGACATCTTTGCATAGCTGTATGATTTGCCCAAATGAACTTGTTCCCATAGTCTCTAAAGGACAGGAGCTTTCTTTTACTGTGCCAGCCACACTTTTTGCAGATATCTAAAAGGTGTTTAGAAATAAGCATTGCTAGCGCACCTACCTATGTTCAGTCCACATTCCTTTCAGAGTAGGTAAGTTCCTTAGTTACCAGGTTTTGCCTACTGTTGATGATGCTTCATTTCCTTCATTACGAATTTAGTCAGGCCGGGGTAAAGGCACCTGCTGCCAAGCCTGATGGCCTGAGTTCAGTCCCTAGATCCCTCACGGTTGTCCTCCCACAGGTTGTCCTCTGACCTCCCCACATGTGCCGTGGTACGTGTGTGTGCGTGCATGTGTGCGTGTGTGTGCGTGTCCACCAAATAAGTGAATGTAAAAAGGTTAAACAAAAGAATTTGGAGTCATGGAAATTTTGGAAATAAAGGTTTAGCAGCAAAACAGAATTAAGATTTTGATTAATCATATGTGCCCTTTGTTGAGTACAAAATAATATCATCTTCCATTAAAACATATGTGTTTGAATTCAGCCACTTTCCCAGATTCAGCAGTAGAGCACAATGCACATATTCTCTAGCCTGCTGTTTCAGTTGATGTATGCTGAAGACATGCCATAGTCATATGTATTCACTGTTTTCATGGCTGCATGCTACTCTGTTGTGTGACTTTTCCTGGGGAGAGGTGAACAAATGTCTGTTCACCCAGGTAGGCCGTGGAGAAATGATTCCACCCAAGTCTAGCTTTGTGAACCATTGTGTTTATTGAGGTCAGTTGTGGGACCTTGAGTGACTCAAAGGCAGCCGCACTATCAAAACCACCCACCCCAACATAGGTAGAAACTCAGAGAAGCTCCATCTCTGCAGCTCCTTGCCCAACTTGCAGGACTGCTTTAACGAAAATGGTCTCTTCCAGCCAGCGATTGTTCACTGCTTTTATAACTGTGGGAAGGGGCCTCATGATTCCTGTAACCTCTGAGCTTCCTGAAACTTGTAAATTTCCTTTGCTTGTGCCCTCCCTTAATAGCTGTCTGTTTTGCCTGGGACTGGCCTGTGGGGTTTGCATACAAAGAATTCTTCATCCCAGGAAAGTGTTCCTTTCCAGCAGAGTCACTCTCATCAGTTTCAAGAACTGCTATGTTCTAAGTGGCATGATGGTTCTGAAGTTTTGTTTTCTAGCACTTTCTCATATTCAGCATGCATATTTGTTTCATCCTAGGTTGCAAAATGAGGGAACATTACATCATGGGAAATGAGTAACTGAGCTTCCTATTTAATCTTTAGCCCAAGGCTTTCGAACAATATTTGAATCTGGAAGATAGCAGGCTGCTGAGTCATCTGAAGACCTGCTCTGCAGTGTCCAGACTTCCTTATGATCTCTGGTTCAAAAGGTGCTTCGCAGGATGCCTGCCTGAGTCCAGTTTACAAAGGCAAGTGTTTTTGTCCATGACGTATTGGCAGCTTGGAGTCAGAGAGAGGACCTGGCCTTTATGTGGTTGTCCTTCAAAAGTTTGCTTCAGAACAAGGCGGTGATCCAAAGCTAAATTCTCTAGCAGCTGCTGGAACTGCTTGTGATCCTGCTTAGTAGTTGGGCATATGCTTAGAAAGCCTGCAGGCCCTCAGTGTATGGGCACTGTGAGGCAGTCACAGCAACAGCAGTGAGGAGCCCAGCGCCTCTTGTTTAGATAGGTGTTGGATCTTAACACGACAGACGTCTTAGTATTTCTTAGCTTGTTTGTGACCTCTTTAAGGAGCTGAAGGTGGTCTAAGATAAAACAATCGAGCCTGGCTTCTTGGTCACCTTCAGACACATGATAAAGGCATTTCTCAGTCCCAGCCCCACCACTTCAGGTCTCTGTGATGTAATTGGGAAGAAAGTCATGCTGTACATATTTAGAAGAAAATATGTAACTTAACATTTAGGATATAATACCGACTTTAAAAGTTACAGGAATTACTGGAATAATTATATTATAGTAATAGTATTTCCTGAAAAGCCTTTGGTAAGTTTACAGAGTCTGAACCAAGATCACTGGCGATGGAACTGACTTTACCTGGCATTTCCTGTCCTGCTTTTGTTGTCCTGTGGTGCGCAGTAGTTAGGATGGTGTTACACAACTCTAGTAAGATGCACGCTCTGGTTTGGGACTTTGTTGCCCTTCAGTGTCCGACTCTCAGTGAATGTTTGGTGTGTTCTAGAACAGTAGTAACGAGTGAAATTCTGTTCTCTCTTCTAAAGCTGTTATATCTAGATTACATTTCAGTGGTTCATCTATTTTGTTGTTTATTCAATCATTCTTCTCTGAAGCTTATTCTTAAAAGTAAATGTAGCCTGGTGTGGTGGCACATGCCTTTAATCCCAACACTTGGGAGGCAGAGGCAGGCGAATCTCTGTGAGTTCAAGGCCAGCCTGGTCAACATAGTGAGTGCCAGGACAGCTGGGGCTACAGGGAGACCCTGTCTCAAAAAAAAAAAAAAAAAAAAAAATTTGATCTTATTTTATAATTTGAGATGCCTGGGTAAAGAATTCCAAACTCCTGTGATTTGTTTCTGTCTCCTCATTTTTGTAGGGTCTGGGACAAAGTTGTAAGTGGATCCTGTAAGATCCTAGTTTTTGTAGCTGTGGAAATCTTAATAACCTTTAAGATAAAAGTACTGGCCTTGAATAGTGCCGAGAAGATAACAAAGTTTCTGGAAAACGTAAGTATGCTTTATTTGATTCCATTTTGAATATGGAAATGAAGTCAGCTTATCCAGCCGGATTTTCCTGTTGTGTTAAATGATTCAAAGGAATAATATAGCATATTCTGACTTTACAAGAGACATTTTATTGTTGTTTTGAGACAGGGTCTCATGCTATAACCCCTGCTTGCTTGGAACCCACTATATACCCCAGGCTAGCCTCACATTCTTGGCAATCCCCTGCCTTGGCTTCCTGAGTGCTGGGGTTATAGGTATGTGCCACCATGCCTGCCAGAAAGAAACATTTGTTTTACCTAAAGGACATTTTGGTTCCTCCTCCTTTCTTGGGGGATGCTGGTCCCCACAGCAAGACCCTTGCTCACTTGTCCCTCCTGTGCCCAGAGGCTCATTCAAGGCGACCATAGCAGAAGAGGAAGAAGAGAAAGCCAGTGTAAAGTTTGTCAGTAGAAAAGAAATCTTCTGTTCTAGGCCCTTTCCACCCTGTTACTGTCTCTGGTCTAATTCCAGTTGGGCTGGCTAACATGCTTAAGTATCATGTCAGTGTGTGCTGGAAAAGGCCCCAGTGAACCAGCTTTTCCCTCTTGTTTGTCTTAATATATCCTCTCCTAGGTAAGAGCTGAAGAGACCCTTGCCTGTGTTTGTGAAAGGACTCAGAATTTTTCTTCCTCCTCCTCCTGCTCCTGCTCCTCTTCTTCTTCTCCCTCCTCTTCTTCCTTTTCTTCCCCCCCTTCCTCCCTCCCTCCCTTCATCTCTTTGTAGCCCCAGCTGATCTGGAACTCACTATATAGACCAAGCTGGCCTTGATTTCACAGAGATCCACCTGCCTCTGCCTCTGCCCCTGCCTGCTGGGATTAGGTGTGTACCACCAGCCCACCCTTTCTTTTATTTTTAAAGACTTATTATTATTTTTTTTATGTATATGAAAGTTTGTCTGTATGTAAATTTACCATGTGCATGCAATACCCATGGAGGCCAGAAGAGGGAACTGGAGTTACAGATGGTGGTTAGCTGCCATGTGGGTGTTGGGAACCAAACCCAGGTCCTCTGTAAGAGCAGCCAGTGCTCTTAACCACTGAGCCATCTCTCCAGCTCCCCCCTTTTTCAAGCCAGCTTTAACATTTGAAGCGTTAAAATGTGCCTGGTAAATAAGTCCTACATGAACATGTGTTTATGAAGTGAATTATCATTATTATAATAATATACCAGGCACAAAGTGAATTATCATTATTACAATAATATACCAGGCATGTGCCAAGCAAGGACCATCTTCTGTCGTTCTGTGGTTAGCTCTGTGGATCATTGTTGGACTTCAGGGCTGGGCGGTGAGTGGGCAGTACTAGATTTGAACCCCACAGCCTGACCCCAAGAGCTACTCAGCATATCCCCAAGGTAGCATTAAATCAATCCTCATATGCTGTCACCTTATAAAGAACAGAAAGCTCCCACGGAAATAAGCTTCATGTCTCATGAATGAGAGAAGATACTGACCGTATAAATGCATAAATTTCACCAAGAGTGGCTTGCTGTCTACAGGTTCCCCAGGACAGCTCCGATGCCCTTGTGAGCAAGGCCTTCGACTTGTGGCACAAACACTGTGGGACCCCTGTGCATTCAGCCTGATGGCTCCTGACCGTGTGGACTACTCCCTGCTCCCGCTTCTTCTGTGCCCCAGCATGTTGTCCTTGTCACCTGGTCTACTAACTGGTTAGAAATAGTGATCTCAGTGTGGTGCTGAAAACAATTTTTCCCTCAGTAAAATAATTTAATCAAAATATCTGGCGTGCTGCGTTGTGAAGCATCTCGGTGACAGAGCGCGAAGTTCTCTTCTTGGAGTAGCCTGACTAGGAAGGGCTCCCTGTCCTCAGGGCAGTTCAGTGTGGATAGGGCCTGAACCACTGCAGAACAGGCTTCCCGCCTCTCTAATTAGTGCAGTTACCTCCAAAGGCCTATTTCTGGAGAAAGAGCAGCTTCCTTTTGTAAACTCAGATTTGGCTTCTGTTGGCCTAGAACTTGTGTCATGTGAGCAGACTTCCTCTCAGGCTTTATCTTGATAATTGTTATGTTTTTCTTACATGTTCCCTGCTTTGTGCTTAGTAGAAGGAAGTCTGCTTTTGTTTTGTTTTGTTTTGTTTTGTTTTGAGACAAGGCCTCATTTTGAAGCCTTGACTTCCTGGTACTTATTATGCAGCCCAGGCTTGCCTTGAACGCCTGTCAGTCCTGCCTCAGCCTCCTGAGTGCTGGGATTACAGACATGGGCTGCCACCCCATGCATGAAGCCTTTATTGAAGAAAATATTCCTGAATTTACCTCCTAGGAGAGAGCACTTGCCTGAGAGTTTCTGACCTCTTGTTTTTTCTATTGGATCATTAAGTGTCGGGTGGACTTTTAGGAGCCCTCTGCAACCATAGAAGTAGCAGGTTAAGGTTAATAGCTGATGACATATTGTGTCCCACATGGTCACTTCATGAGACATTTGGAGACTTTGCGGCTGGTGAATGAAAGGGGCCCTTGTTCAGTCCTGCAGAGAGACTGGGGTAGAAATCATATTTTTTGACCCATCCTCTCCCTACGCAAGGAGGAAGAAAGATGATAAAACTATGGATTTATATTTCTGAGACTTCAGTCTTTTTATCTGTTAACAGTTATAGGAAATGGAGCTTCTGAAACCAACTGATTCTTCTATCCGGTAACAGATCAAGAGGAGTCTTTTAAAGCAGATCAGAAACCCCATTCAGAAGAAAACCCTCCTAAAACAGAACTGCTACCTACAGTTAACATTTTACAGAATGGTTCTCTGCCAGCCATTTATTTAGTAACCACTCCAGTAATCCTGAAGAACTTTGGCGCCATAAGAAAAAACACATGCAAAGGACCCTCTACCCCAATTGCTTGTCTCCTGTTGACCACGGAGGAGCTGTGAAATTCACAGAGAAGTGATAAAAAAAATACTGTCACTTCTCTTTGTGTATTCATGTGTATGCTCTGTGTGTATGTGTGTGTGTATGTGTGTGTGTGTATGTGGAAGCCAGAAATCAACCTGTGGGGTTGCTCCTTGGGATGGTTGTCTACCCTGTTTTTTGAGACAGGGTCTTGTGTCTCACTGGGACTTGGGGCTTGCCTCTGAGGCTAGGCTGGCAGGCCTTTGAGCTCCAGAGATCCTTCTGTCTCCATGTCACCAGTGCTGGGATTATAAGCATTTGCTACCATGCCTGGCTTTGTACCTGCTGGGGTCAGACTTGGGTCTTCATGCTTATACTATATATCATTCAAACACATTTTTTAGTAAACTAAAAGTGATAAAGTCCATTGATGTTAGTGAATCTCAATTCCAGAACATAAAAAAAGAACTGACAGTCTCTCAACTCAAGGGAGTTTGAAAGTTATGTGGTCTTGGGTGTTAGAGGAGATGGGCATTCATGAACAGGTGTGGGGTGCTGGGCAGGAGCCCTGAGGCTGGGGAGTTTGAGGGCTGCAGTTCCTCTTTCCTCCCCATCCAGAGGTCCAGACGATTTCCCATGGAAGGCTCTGTTGTACTGCCGAGTACCCGAGCAGCACCTTGCATGCCTGCGCTATCACACATGCTCTTTTCAAACCTTTTTGTCCATAAAGGGTGGGGGAGGTTTTTTGTTTTGTTTTTTTTTTTAAGTGAGTCGGTGTGATCACATCCACATTTTCCTTATTAGAAACTACATAGCCAGGGGCTCTTTAAGCCTGTGTTGGGACTGAGAGTCTGTAGGGGCCCAGTTTGTTTCACAGCGGAACTGTTTGGAGAGAGCTCACTATGTAGCTTCTGCCTGCTGCCCTTCGCCCCTAATAAAAATGCCCCCCATTCTCCTTCCCTAGAACATTTTGTTAGGGTGCTGAGGAATGTTGATGCCATGTTAAAGCCCAGGGTGCTGGTCACAGCTAGTGCTATAGCTACAACTTGGAGTCTCCCTCTCCATCTGAACACAGACCATGATCAACTCAGTTCCTGCTCTGATTCTTCCAGAATCTTCTAAACCCTGGTGACGGAAGCTCTAAATCCATTCGGCTAGGAGAAATGAAGGAAAGGGAGGTGGAGTGTATGTGGGTGTTACACATGGGGTGTGTGCTGTGTTGTGTGTATATGAGGAGTGTGTGGTGTATGTATGAGTGTGTGGAGAATGTGTATGTGCAATATGTACAGTGCACAATGTATAGTATAGGGTGCGTATGGAGGGCCGACTGTGCATGTATATATATATATGTGGATATATGTGGAGTGTATTCAGGGGTTGTGTGTACACGTGTATATGTAGAATGGGAGGATCAATGTATATGTGGCATGTATATGTGGATAGGTGTATGCGTGAAGTATGTGTGGAGTAGAGGGGTCAGTGTATTTGTGCCATGTATATGTAGGTAAGTGCATATGTGGAATGGGGGTCAGTGTATATATGAAGTGTATGTGTGTGGGTAGGTAGAGTACACGTGTGGGTGTATATACAGAATGGGAGGTCAGCATGTTTGTGGAGTGAGGGAGAGGCTGGTATATATGTAGTGTGTATACATGAATAGGTGTACATATGGAGTGTGTAAGGGGTAAGTGCATATGTAGACTATATGTGTGGAGATAGGTGTATGTGGAGTGTTGGATATGTGTACATGTGGAATGTGTGGTGTATGTACATGTGTGGGATGGAATTATGCCTTGAGTGTATATGGGGGTATGTGTGTTCAGTGTGTGTTGGGGTTTGTGTGACTTTTGTGTGATGACAGTTGGTACTTTCAAGGGAGGGAGGCAGAAAGGAGGAGACAATTTGGATGATTTGAGGATCCGAACTCAGATCCTCATGCTGTACAAGTGCTGTGCCCAATGAACCATCTCTTTGGTTCCTCAAATACATTTTGTAAATTGCACATAGCACTTGTGCATGTTTATGGGGAATAGTGTGGCATTTCCATACATGTGTACTCTGTGTAGCTCTCTGCCTCTTCCGCTCCCCAGCCATTTGGTTCCTTGAATCCTTGAGTTTCCTTCCATCATGAGATAAATGTGAGTGATTTCCTGTTTAGGAGCCAGATACTGAGTGCTGGATTGCTGGAGAGGACACCTGGGGCTGCCCTCCTGCTGCTTATGTATGGGAGATAACTAGTAACCAAGTCTGTTTCCTTCTAGGAATCTTCAAGAGCATCTTTTGCCTCCTGAGCTGTCACACAGAGGAAGGTAGAATGACTCTGGGGTACATGGTCTTTGCCCGCTTCCATTATCAGTAGAAGTGGCAGGAATAGCTTTAGGGTGGGGCAGGAGTTTCTGCCCCACTCACTGGTTCTGTGACCCAAGCACATCACTTAATGTGCTGGTGTGCATTCCATGTGGTCACTGTGAAACGGGACACCAGCTGGGTATGGTGGTGCATGCCTGCAGTCGTATCACTCCAGAGGTACAGTTGGGACAATCAGGAGTTCAAGGCCAACCTTGGCTACAAACAGAATTCAAGGTCAGCATAGGCTACTGGAGACCCTGTCTCAAAAATAAAAACAAGTAAGTAAACACAGGAACTAAAAAAATTGGGGGAGGGGGTGGGAATGGGAGGGGAGGGAGGGAGGGAGGAGAATGGGGCACTATGAAATGTTGAATGCTTTTATTAGTGTTATTAGCTAAGGAGAGTGTGACTGGATCGTATCTCTGTTTGAACCTGCTTTAGCCTTCAAGGCCTAACTTGGCTTTACCTGTTTTGAAAAGGCCCTTGGAACCTTCTAGGCTGAAAGGCACTTCATTTACTCTGAGCTTCAAACATCATTTCAAACATCACTAGTTCAGCTAAGGGTTTGGATGTGTCTTCTTTCGGTTGTCTAGAATTTTGGTTCTTTTCTGATTTGGGGTATTGTTTTTTGTTTTGTTTAAGTGTTTTTGCAATCTTGGGATGGAACCCAGGCCTTGTGTATGCTAGGCAAGTGCTCTAACACTAAGCCACACACTTGAATTGGAGAGCTTGTTTGGAGATTCTAGCAGGGAGTGCAGGTACTCAGAGACCCCTGACTGAAGATGGGTCATCTATAGGGGAAGATCCCCCTCTTCCATCTAGTGCTCAGCTTTGGGAGGGTTACACATGGAGTGGTGAGGGAGGAAAGAGACACCTACCTCGACAGCCAGATCAGCCAAATCAACTCTGGTGATCAGTGGGGTGATAGATGTCACAGCCAGGTCTCCCTCACACCCCTCACCCTTTGTGTGTGTGTGTGTGTGTGTGTGTGTGTGTGTGTGTGTGTGTGTGTGTGTGTGTGTGTGTTTAAAATCCTTTGTGTATATGACATTTGTATATGTTTGTGAAAGTGCAGGTACATGTGTGCCACAGTGCACATTTGGAGGTCAGAGGACAATCTCAGGTGTCAGTGTCAGTCTTTACTATCCACCTTGTTTGAAACAGGGTCTCTTGTTTTTGAAGGTGTACACTAGGCCATCTGGCTGTCAGGCTTCCCGAGAGTCTCCTTCCTGCCTCCCATCTTGCTGTTGGAGTGTTGGGGTTACAGAAGTGTGTTATTGCATCTAGCTTTATCTGAATGTTGGGGATCCTCACACTTGTGCAGCAAGTGCTTTACCCACAGAGCCATCTCCCCAGTTCCTTAAATATATTTTGTAAATTGACACGTGATACTTATGCATGTGTATGGAGTGTGGCACAACATTTTAATATGTGCATACATTGCGTGGTGATTCTGTCAGGGGGATTGGCAGGTTTATTACCTTAGACATTTATCATTTCTTTGTGTTGGGAACATTCCACATCTTCTCTAATAGCTGGTTTGA